CATCTGCTTCTACTTTTCTACTGGTTTCAACGCTGCTCTAACGCGAACTGTGATCCACTGCTTGTCCCCGCTGATCTCTTTACTCTGCTGGATGGTGGCACTTGCTTTACCGAGTTGGATGTTGCTGATGTCTACTTGCAGGTCGAAGTCGTTCCAGAGTCGTGCGACTTGCTGAAGATAAACACACCGCGGTCTGTTCCAGTAAACCAGGCTGCCCTTTGATATCAAGACCGCTCCGGTCCTGTTCCAGCAGACAATGAACGCAATGCTTTCCGGCATTCCTGGCACATTTGAGTACCTGGACAAAATCGTAATCATGGATCGCTCCCCAGCTGAGCTCCAAGACTCAGTGTGCGCAATACTTGAACATGTGCAGGGATAAGGCTTCTGATTGCGGGCCTAGAGGTGCCATTTTTTCATCGAGTCCATCAAGTACCTCACATTCATGTTTGACGTCACTGGTTGCCATCCAGATCCTGAAAATATTCGTGCCATTCATCGGATGCCTACACCCAAGGACTTATCACAACTTCGATCAGTCCTTGACTTGATCGGCAACTATAGCGCCTTCCTACCGTCATTGCATGACATACGAGCCCCGTCCAACCGTCTGCTGCAGAATGGTGCTCATTGGTCCTGGTCTTTCGACTATGCAAAGACCTTTGTCGAGCTGACTTCCATTCTGAGTTCAGATATGCTACTCCCGCACTATGGCTCGACACTGCTGATTGTGGTTCCTGCAGACGCCATCAATCATGGCATTGGCGCCATCATTTCGTATACCTTCTCCAACGGGTCCGAATAGGCGATCATGCACGCGTCACGATCTTAACTTCTGCTGAGAAGAAATATGGTCAAATCGAGAAAGAAGCATTATCCATTACCTTTGCCATCAAGAAGTTCCACAAGCTAGTGCACGGTCGTCATTTCACGCTGCTGACTGACCATAAAACGTTACTGTCAATCTTCGGTTAGAAGAAGGGCATCCCAATCTATTCAGCCAGCCAACTTCAACGATGGGCAGTTATTCATCTCGCTTACGATTTTGATATCCGCTACTGTCGCTTTATCGACTTTGGCGAGGCTAACGCCCTTTTCCGCCTCATCTGCAATCTTCAGAAACCCGAAGAAAGCCCCGTGATTGCTGATATTTCGAGTGAGGATGATGTGTGCCGTCCGCTTTCGAACGCCATACGAGGCATTACTGTAACTGCCAACAACATCCGACGCGCTACCGCACAGGATCCAGATTTTCGCCAAACTATCATCTATATGCAGATTAGTTGGCCAACCACTACTCCCACTTGCGATCTTCACCATCTCTTCCTGCGTCGAGCATAGCTGTCTGGGTTCGAGTCCTGCCTCATGTTTGCAGACCATGTGGTGATTCCTCCTCAACTTCGACCTGTTGTGCTACAGAAGTTGCATGCTCATTCTGGTACCGGTCGAATGAAGTCCACTGCACGCAGTTTTGCCTACTGGCCGTGTATTGACAGCGAAATCGACTACATCGTTCAGCGCTCTTCCCGTTGTCAACGAGCTGCCAAAACCTTCGCTCGACAGCCATTCGTACCGCGGCAAACTCCGGATAGGCCTTAGCCATCTGTACCCACCAACTTCACTGGCGCACTGACAGAAGTCACTTACCTGGTCGTGGTCAACGCCATCTCAAAGTTGCCCGAGATTGCACCGGTGAATCCGGCAACCATGTCTGCCACAATTGCCTTCCTATGGCGCATCGTTAG